GACCTCGTCACGCGACCGGTAAAACTACGTCTTCACGACACACGGAGAGGTTGATCACAAGTTATAAATGGACAAAAAAATCACCGGCTTCGTGGAGTGAAATCAACCTACATTGATGTAGCTACTGCACTAGTTGTACGACACGGTATCGTGAGGCTATTCCCAAACATAACACTTCACGGAGAGTTACCGACTTGACAACAGTACACCTTTCATTTAAAACTACAATAAAAAAACTATTCTTTATTTTACCAGGAAAGGTCCACCGAGCGATAGAGCTCTTTTTCAGAAGTAACTTGACCACAAATTATGGCTCAACGAAGTGGCTTATCGTCCGGTGGAAATTTATAGCAGCGCAATGTTGATTCTAAATGTGGAGGGGAAAACCGGAGGACCCGGAGAAAAATCCACGTGACCACAGGGAGAGAGAGACATGCAACTGCAAATGATACAGTAGGCAGTATCAAGGTCAGGGTAGAACCCACGACCTCCCGCATTCAAGGCGAGGTAGTTAACATCTCGTATGCGGCTCACCGATGTCTACCGTAATATCTGCGCCCATCCCGTCCTGATTCCACGGCCGTGCGATGGGGGGGGGGGGAGCAAAACCCTTCTCCCGAACCCTCGCAACGCCGGCAACTCTCCCCGTGTCACGAAATCTGCTTGGTCGGGTCGAGAGGAGAAAAAGAAGACAAAAACATTTCGATTTAAAGCTTTCGTGACTGCAGGGATTCATCTTCTTGGTTCTTTCGGTAAAGTCACGTAGAAGGGAAATAATAAAATAATAAGCATTAAACATAATAAAATAATTCTCACGACGTTTCGGCTACAACGCAAGCAGCCGTCCTCAGGTGAAGACGGCTGCTTGCGTTGTGGCCGAAACGTCGTGAGAATTATTTTATTATGTTTTATTTTTATTATTTTATTACTTCCCTTCTACGTGACTTTACCGAAAGAACCAAGAAGAAGACAAAAAAATGTTTCACCACTTAAGACGATCAATGAACACCTGGCTGCACAAGTCTGAGCACGCTCGTATAAGCCCCGGCTCGTCAGCCCGCGCGTGCCTGTACCAAGCGGACATGCAGAGAGCGAGGGGGGGGATAAGAATGGAACCACTGTTCCCGCTACGGTTCTCTTAGAAGCTATTTATTGAGCCACTAATGCGGCGTAATGGGCCCTTAAGAAAAGCCATGCCTTGGGGTATCCGTCACGATAGCTGCCCCACCACCCCCACCCTCTAGTTTTGTTAGAAGCTCCGTACGAAACCCAACTTCATTAAGGGGACCGAGTGTGCCTGCAAGCGGCTTCACCTTGTCAATGCGCCCGTTGTGAACGCGCGCGTCATTCACAAAGGATCGTGTACCACACCCATTCAGCATTGCCCCCCGTCTATGCCTTCACGGCGCTTTGGAATTCATCGACGTCTGACCACGCTTCTCCAGCTCACTCCCTGTTCAGAGCATGGTTTGAGCAACCCAGCATGTGCAGTTGCTCCGGTGGAACAAGAAGACTAATCGCTCCACTCTAAACTAAACCGTTTGTTTTTATTTGACCAGGTACCGTATGGCCCACTGACCTGTTGTAACTTTGTTTTTTCAGAAGCGACCTGGCCACCACAAACGATAACTATAGCTCGACGAAGCGCCTCGTCATCCTCATCACCGTCGTCATCACCACGTAGAAATGTAAAAGCAGTCGGCAAATAACTCGAAACAAACACGAGGTCGTTAGCCCACTCGGCTACCACCCCCGAATGCCCGCCGTGGAATAGATGAACAACCATGAAACGGTACAAAACCAAAGCCCCCCCCCGCTTTGACTGCTGCGTCTGATGACCACCGTGCGAAGGAGGAGGACGTTAGCCACTCAATACGACGTCGAAAGCCAAGGAACGGGCCATCTTTTTGCACTTTACGCAGCTACGACGACTTTGTGAAAATGACAAGAAAAAAAGAGAGTCGTCGACTAACCCCTAATTTACGAGTACCGTAGTAATGTCCAAAACACGATACTGGGATGGATACGCTGGACAATTTTTCTTTTTGCGATTCTGCACACCGATGATTAGGCGCGATTGAAAGACTCACCACGTGTCTCGTAACGTCGCGGGAGTTGTTGTTTTTTTAAGTTTGGTTTATTCGTGCGTTCGGGACCCGCCACTGGCAATGTAGTGGCCTAACTCGATCTTTTTTTTTGCGTGTTCTTCACACAGAATGCAAAGTTGGTTGGTGTTTTTTTTTGGGTTGGGCGATGAGAAAATTGAAGGATTTGAAAGAAAAAAAACACATTTGGGAGACAAATTAATAAGTCGAAGAGCAGTGTTACTGTTTGGGTTATTGTTGTTGCTGCTGCTGCTGTTGTTGTTGTAAACACTGAGTCTTTGGAAACGTGAGCTCTCCAGACCTGCTATGAACAATCTACTTCGGGCAGATCTGTACAACAAAAGTAAAACGTGTGGGGGCGATCTATCGACGACACCGGAACAAAAGACGCGTAAAATGGCGAAAAGGGAAAACGTTGAAGCCAGCCAAATCCCATTAAGCGGGCCTTCCATATTTATTGTTTAAATTTAAAGTGACACTATTTAAAGCACATGCCAGCGCACATGCATCTATTTACTTATTTTTAAATCACATCATCGATGGTGGTGTTCCACAAATGAGCTTCGGACTTCACGCAACTTTTGATCTTAAGTTTTTTTTTTTACAAGTCGGATACGACACACACACACACAATGCAAAATCGGTTCGTCTGTACACGTACGGCACTTTTTTGTTAAACCAGTAGACCCCCCCCCACCCCCCCCCCCCAAGTTGTCGCGCTGTGCGGCCATCCCCTTGCAGCGCAGCAAAACACTTTTGGACTTTTTTTTGCATGCCCACGAAGCTACACAAATAAGGGGAAGACGACCGCCACCGCTGTTGTTGCTGCTGCTCTCACGCCGTAAAGGCAGAGAGTCAAAGCACCCCCCCCCCCCCGCTGCCCCCTAAACCCACCCCGCCTTCATTAGATTCTCGCATGCCGAACAAACGTGATTTTTTTTGACGTATATATATTTTTTAAAAAGCTAGTAGTTTCTTTTAATGTTTTTTTTTGTTGTTGTCATGTGAAACATAATTTTTTATATCACGTTCATGCAAGTTCACCTCTTTTTGTTTATGTACAGATACAATATTTTTTTTTACAAGTATTTGTTTTCGTTCGTTGTTGCAACATTTTTTTTTATGAGAAATCGTTGACTTGAAAGGCGGGCGTGAAGTGGTTGAGAATCTTGGCAGGAAGATGCTACGTCTGGAACTACACTTCCTTGACAGTATTATAGATATACTTTATTAAGTTCCTTTTTGCAAGGGAAAATAAATCGATGAACACGTACCTGCATAAAGAACATTTGTTTCACAGCAGTCAATGAGCCACCTCCCAACTCATTACATTCTGAATCACATGTTTGGACCGAGGATAAATCAACAAAAATAATATTCTACATAATGCACTTAAATAATGCACTGCTTTGCGAACAACCACCTCTAGCCAACCCACGCACGCTTGCTGATCTTATTGGTATAAAGGGCGCTAATGGATTTACCGCTGTAACTGAAGATAACAAGCAATTATATCAGCAGTCATTGACAATGGCATGTACAACCTGCTTATGTAACACATTGCAGGGTTATTGGATAGTGACAGAGTAAATTAGAAGTAACCCTATGCAGATTCACACGAGATATATTACCACTACCACCGTTCAGTTCAGCTGGGGTCTATGAGCAGATTTTTTATAGGAGGGGGAGGGGGGGGAGGAAAACGCCAGAGGTCCTTTTAACATATCCGTGTCGTTTGCTGCTATATTCATGCAACTTCGCATGCTTGTCGTTCAGAATACAAGATCACGTTTTTTTATTTAATCGGTTGAATGGCGCGCACGGTGTGCACGCGTGCAGCGAGTTATCAAAATGTAGAAAAGTGAGCGGTCTTGTTTGTTTTTTTTTTTCTTTAGGGAAACGTAGCTGAAAAATGATCGATCTTTCAGCCAAAGAGGTCTTCGCAAACGACGTCTTACATTTTGGCGACTGCTTGGGACACAAATGCGCGTCTGTCATCTCTCCGACACTCGGCGTGTCCCATCAGCCACTGCACAGCACCCAGTCACATATCGTCCAATCGTTTAAACAACAACAACAACAACTACGGAGGGGGAGTTTTTTTATAATCGATATTAAATCACGGTGGGGATTGCACGGGGAAATTAAAGTCAGTTGCCATCAATCGAGTGCAATCAGCCCACTGGAATGGTAAAACAAAAATTGCAATATAGTAGTAGGTTTTTACCCTTTTAAACTGGTACCAATCAACTTCAAGGACAGTGCATATTATTATCATTATCAGAGATGCTTCTTTTTGTTTGCTTTTTTGACTACTTGTGTTGTGGTTATTGCAAACATGATGCCTTGAATAAAGGTATCAGTTTTGTACTAGTTTAAAAGGGTAAAAACCTACTACTATATTTTGCCACTGGTAAAAGAGGTCTCATAGTGTAAAAATTTCAATGTACTCTGACGAGAAAGGCATTGGTCAGACTGCCTGCAAGTGGCCGGTGGTTGTCACGGACGGGGGAATTGATCTCAATAAAGGCCTCTTGAGCTGAAACATATCCCTTTCTCACGATACTGTCCACGTATTATTCAGTCCCTCCAGAAAAACGCGATTATGCGATCGCAAGATTCCACGCAAAATCAGCCAAAGTCCGCATATTTATGCGGGGGGCGCGTTTTTTCAAATACGCCGCACTTTCGCCGCATAAATTGCAGATTTCCGCGCGCAAAATATGCGGGCTTGCATGATTTCATAATCCCCAGCATTTTCGTTGCAAAAAGTCACATATATCTTAGCAGAAAGTTGAAAAATGTTGCGTTTACTTCACACAAGCGCAGCCATTTCCCCTGTTGCCATGGGAACGTTATGAAGTGTTAGAGGCTACGTAGTTAGTTTTATTCAGGAGTTTATGCAACTTTACAGTTGTAAGATTGCACTTTTTTGTTAGTAGTATGTAAATTTACATTACTGTAATACTGTACTGTTACTGTATTGCTTACGTTACTGTGCACTGAAAACACTTATTTTAACAGAAGATGTCTGTTTTGTATAGCTACCTCTGTAAAACAGGAAACACACATTTTATTTTTTAATATTTTATTTATTCATTTTTACAGAAGTTGTAGCATATTCATTTTGTAAAGCTACAGAACTTGTTCGACTCAATGTTTTGTAAGTTTGAGCCATCTGTTTGTTAAGGTCTGAAATAAAACAAGATGAGAACTTAAATATCCCCAGCACTTTCTGTGATGTAGTATGCTTGCTTATCATAGGAAGTAATAAGAAATGACTCTTTACATTAAAGTAGTAGCCTAGTGAATAGGGTGTTGGGGGAATCACTTTTTTTTCTCTTTTTCATCAAACCGCAGTTTTTGCACGTTCCCGCAATTTAATCGCATAAAATTGCATAAATATCCCGCATATTCCATCGCATTTTTTAAGAAAACGTGCCGCATAATCAACGATTTTTGCCCGCAACAATTACCAAAAAACTCCGCGTTTTTCTGGAGGGACTGATTATTGTTAAATATTTGTATATATCCCGACTGCAATTGATTTAACGAAGCGGCCATTACATGCACGCGCGCGCACTGCGCATGCGTATAAGTGGCTGCATTTTTAAGAAGCCTCCGCGGTTGTGTTGGCTTGTGCCCCATGACACCTGGCTATGCAAACTCCTTTTGCAACTGCAGCATTAAGCATTAAAATTTGGCGTTGCATAGCATAAATCCCAAAAGTATGTCTATGTCGCGACAGTCTACAACGGGCGTGACGTCTGAACGAGGAACGAACGGCTGTTGCGCACGGCATTAACAGCCGCGGTTACGACACACAATCACGGCGGCCAGTCCTCGGTTACAAAGCGGAGCGTCATTCGGTCTCTGAACAGCAGGTCGGGGGGGGGAAGGTGGAAAGTTGCGGACGGAGAGGGCATGGTCAGGCTGAACACGCCAAGATGACGGGAGCTGTCACTGAGAGAGAGAGAGAGGCGAGGTGCTCATGTGAGGTATATTTAGGAGGTTAGAATCTACTTTGAATTGGCTACGGCTCGCCGATGATTCCAGGACGCGTTTGAAACGCGTACAAAATGCCATGCCGAATAACTTGCCGATGGGCAAAGCCAGCGCCCTGCTTTGTTAGGATCGCATCCTTAAATAGTGAGTCAATTTCTTGCCGCTGTGTGCGAGGTCAAAACATACCACACACGGCGCAGGGAGGCTTTCATCCTGCAGTGGATTGATAACAGGCGCTGTAAATAACATTAACGGTATATACATACGTAAGCTGTGCAATATACAGTAAATTACAATGCCACATTGATATGGTGTAGATATATAGACTTTGAATACTTTCGTAACGACAGCAACTTGAATCAATGGCTGCCCTTTTTTTTAAATACATCTACAATTTTTTAACAATTACACGAACAAAACAAAAAAACAAACTTTGTTTAAAAAGTGCATTCAATTAGAATAACAGTCCTGACTATTATATCCGGGTATGAGCCTCACCGGGAAAATATATATTTTATTTTCAGGAGGGTTCTTCAAAACGTTTGTGGCCAGTTTCTCTCTCGTCGCGTGGTGGGGCGGCTTCACAAAACGAGGCACGTCACAGAGTCCAAGAAGTCTCAAAGAAAAATTAATCGTTGCAAGTTTAACAAAAAATATATGGCTTATTTACGGGGGGGGGGGGGAGGGCGGGGGGGGAGAAAAGCTAAATCATTTGACACGTGCAGAGTATTACGCGAGAACCAAAGCGCTCCGTCACCATCGCAACGTGGCGGTGGTAAATAAACGAGTCGGTGGGTTCTGTCTGTGGTGCGTCCAGGCCCCGTGGTAATTCTACCAGGTTTCCCTTAACCCGAGCTATAAATGTGGACAAGTTGCTTCTGCCCGAATCACCATCCTCAATTTTTTTTTGCCTGTCGAACCATGCCCAAGTAACATTTTTACAACAAAAAATGTCCGATAATTGGTTTTTAACCCTTCTATCTGGCAACAAAACTGACACCTTTTTTTTATAAGGAGTCATGTTTACATAGACCACAATACCTGCAGTCATAATTCAAACAAAAAACATAACTCTGATAATGTGCACTGTCCTTGAAGTTGATTGGTCCACACCCGAGACAGCTTTCCTTAGAGCCTAGTCTCACATGGGTTGGACCAGATGACGCCAAAAGGCGCACTATGGCTGCAGGTATTGTGGTCTATGCAAACATGACTCCTTGTAAAAAGGTGTCAGTTTTGTTGCCAGATAGAAGGGTAAAAAGACAATTATCATATTTTTTACTGGCAAATGAGGTTCCAATCGTGTAAAAAATGTCCCTTCATCAAACTTAAACTAAAAATGACTTGCCTGCCTCTTTTAAAGCGTCAGGGAAACGCACGTCCGGGAATCGTCAAACTGCGCCACGTAGAGTCAGCGTTTTCTTTGTTTGTTTCGTGCAAGATTTCTAAAAAAATTAATCTAAAATGCCCAGAAGAAAACCTCGAAATAAACGCAACGAAAGTCCACGGGTAAAGTCAGCAAGCGACACGCTTGCTGTTGGGTACTGGCCCATATAACGAGGCGGCAGCCATCCTCTGCGCGCCCTGTAGATGGGTCTCGTTGCATTGTCAAGCGATCGGCTTCAAAAGTACTCGGGTCGCATGTTCGTGTTGTTCATAAAGTGCTCTGCCGTGACGTCACAAGACAACAACTTTAGGGACAATGATGACACTTTTTGAGATTACAAAACATCAAACACAGGGTCATTTACCGCACAGGCTATACACGATTCAGCGTATCACAGCAATCGTATTCCTTTTCATTTGTTCATCGGCGGTTCGTACCGCGCAGCATTAATGCGTATATACTGTACAAACCATATGCAAGCACGTCTATTGCCGATGTTCACGCGAATCTAACATGTATGCGCGCACTCGTCCAACTATCTTTTCCGGCGGGGAGGGGTAGTGGCAATTCGTATACAATAAAAAGAAAAAAAAGCCTTTTTCAATCACTCGGAATAAGAAGTAAAAGAAACGAAATAAAATACATTCCATCCCATTGCCCGATGGGCGTCGGCGGCAATTCCCAGGTGGCATTTGTTCCAAACGTGATTACCGTGACTGGTCGTGACATCCGTTGGCTCTGCAGCGAAGGGGGCATTCTCTTAGCGAGGAGCAAAGCGCCACGGCCGATGAATAAAAGGGCAGCAGCCGCATTACCAATGCGGTGGGGCACCCCCCCCCCCCCCCCCCCAGCCAGACAATGTAACAGAGCTGCATTTTGCTGGAGAGCTGAAATCTGAGTGGTGGAGAGCTGAAATCTGAGTGGTGCCGCGATGAAACGGATGTATAGCAAAGATTGCGGTGGGGGGGAAGGGGGGGGCATTTATCTTTGCATCCGAATTATTTATCTTTGCATCCGAATAATTTCGCGACTATCGGCAATTAAACAATCGTTTTGTTTCATTTACAATTTGCGCTACATCAGCTTCATTTGGTGAAATCGCGAAAGCTCAACATCGTCGTTGAGCTTTTGAGTCTCGCGGTATTTGTGAAGCGTGGCTGCCCGTATTATGGGAGGCATTGATTTGGTTTTCTTTTTGTTTCTTTAAATCACTTCACTAAAAATGTAGAACAAGTCAAAATACAGACCAAGGTTTCAGTTGTGGAGCAAATGCCAACGAGAAGCATTGCATCATGGGAAAGTTTGGAAAGCCCATTTGAAGATCACTTTTTATAAAGCCACATATATGCCGACCAAATGTTGTTCTTGTTAACCGTGCCTATCACCCAATTTCCGCGATAATTACAGCACATATTTATTCATTGATCAAAGCACTTGCATTTTGTTTAGCAAAATCTTATCACAGAAACACAAAAATAAACATGGTTGATAGTTTTATATATTCCACCCCCCCCCCCCCCCTGCCTTGGGACAGCACACTTTTCACAGTAATCGATTATGTACAACTGGACGTGGTGTCTGGAAGCGCTGTAAAAGTGTTACGGTTATTTGAACGTTTAAACGGAAGCAGTAGTCGGCCCCGGGAAGGCTTCGAAACGGCAGCGCGAGTTAAAGCGGTCAGAATCACGCTCGCTTGGTAACTGCACACGCGTAAGGCTAGCAGTGGCAGATGTCACAGGGAACATGTATTGCCTTTGCGTTCCTGGCAAGAGCGGTATGGGGGGGAGGTGTTGGGATAGGAGGAGGAGGGGGGGCTCTGTGGATTTGAGGGGGGCCAAGTGGTGGGAGATCAGTGTGTCTGTACCAGGTCTTCATTCTTGCACCATGTGAACATGTGACCACCAAAAGTAGTGACCTTTGATGTTAAAAGTTTGTCCCTCTCTCTCTCTCTCCCTACAATCAAGGAAATTAAAAGAAAATTAAACCTCCTAAAAGAAAAGAAAATAAACCTCCTGAAAAAATAACGAATCTTTTTGCTGCAATCGTTTTTCGTGCGTGTGTGTGTGTGAAATTGAGTAAATGAGCCACGGACGTTGGTAGCGAGCCACGGGATAACCCGGGGTCACTTGCCAGCATCTCTGTGGGTAAGCAAAGGCATCAACTTTAGGCCCTTGCCGGCTGAAAGCCACAGCGGCAGAGAGAGAGAGAGAGACACACGATGCCCTTACACAGCCGCCTCCAACGATCACCCCGAAGGCATTCACCGCAGACAGAGACTCACCCTCGCCTTGAGGAGCACGTTCAACTGCTTTCACGTGTTACATCGCGCGATTGAACAGAGAGGAGGATTAACACGTAGGCTTTCGCGACCGTTATTATTCATAATAAAGGTTTTTTGGGGTTAGATCGCGATATTTATAAATGTGTCGCAACCCTCCGCGTCGTCGTACTACTCAAATTGTAAATGTTGTGGATTCACTCTTCAACACACCGGTGGGCTAAAGTAGTGAACTATTTTGTCTTTTGTCAACGTGACACATTTTTTACTGATTGGCCGTGTCGGGTGGTGGAGAGTTGCGACACATTTATAAATAACGCGATCTAAACCCAAAAACCTTTACTATGAAGAGAGGAGACGATACTCGCAGCTGAGTGAGTGGGGGGGCGAGCGGGGAGAGAGGGTGATGGGTAATGAATGATTATAAAAGTAAACACTCTGAATAATGAAAGCACTCTGTAACAATGATAATATTGATGACAGAAATGTAATATATATGCTGTTTGTTAACCTTTATGGATGGTTTGAGAATTAAATCACCTTCTAACCCTCGCGCTACGGATAATTGCAAAACAGAGACTCAATTAGTCATCTCTACTTCGCAATGAATAACCCGCAGGTGACGTTACAGTTTATTGCTCCTTTCTGCATTGCGGCACCGACACCTATTATTGTCTGCGGTCTAATTAGAGTCCAATAAAGTTTTCCAGAAACCCCGAGTGACTTCGGCTTTTAATACGATCTGCGCCGCTAATTGTTCAAGAGAGGATCTGCTTCGCAAGCAAACATTTAAATGCAGGCCTTTAACTTGGGCCTCACGTTATTTCGCATCGGATGAAGAGCGATGAGCACGGTTATGTCGCGTGTTACGCGACACGTTACGTTGATATCCAAATGAGCATATGCTCGCGTGAAATGAATGTATGTATGTATGCGTATGTCGCGTTTGTCGTACATTGGAAACAGATCTCAATTCTGACAACAAGTAGCGAATGGCTACATTTACCACATTGATGAAGTGTCAATTGTACAAATCAGTTAACCAGTCACATTTCCAGAGTAAATGGCGTTCTTTGCTCCTTTACAAATCGAGTATGGATTAAGGGATAGTCTCTATTTAGATTCATCTTTTACATGTTTGTTTACTTATTTTATTTTAGATTCATCAAGCATAACACCCATGCCCACCGTGACCGCAACCGCCTCTGTGGCTAAAATAAACTATAAACTATTAAAATACTAAATGTATTTTACCAGGTAAGGTCCACTGGTCTATATTATAGCTTCTTTTTCAGCAGCTACCTGGCCACAAATGACAGCTCAACCAAGTGGCTCATCATCACGTGGACATTTATAGCAGTCGGCAAATACTATAAACGCACGTTGATTCTAAATGTGGAGAAAAATCCACGCGACCACGAGGGAGAAATCCAAATATAGAGTAGGCGTCAGGGTTGGGATTGAACCCACGACCTCCTGTATACCAGGCGAGGTAGTTAACATCTCCTAGCCACCGCGGAAGTGGTTAGCGGCAGACCGTGTCATCGCGCATCGACGGTGGACTTGGGTCGTCTCAGGTGGATGGATTCAAAAGTGGTCTCGGGAATTAGGTAATTAAAATAATTCACTTATTGATCCCGGTGAAATTACTCAAACGATGAACTACTAGGAGCCTATTTTATTATAGCACAGTAACAACACTAGGTCCGGGCTTGGTCTTGAAGCTTGTCCCTTCCCTTGAACGTCCCCTGCCCTTGTGCTCTGCCCGTTTATATCACTCGAGCCCCCTTTCTAGAACGTTCCCTCACTGTTTTATCCCCTAGCCAATCCCTGTCATTCCCCTCTAACGGTTCCCAACCGTCGCCCCCAGGTCCCGCGCTGTTTCCCAGCCTATTCTCGTTCAAATCCCTCTCCTCCAATCACTTCAAAAGCCCTGCCTCCCGACCAATCACCGTAGAGGCCTGTCTCTGCCAATCAGAGGCCTTGGCCTACTTTTGAATAACCGTTAGGCTGCGCCTTGGCTTGGAGTGAGTGCTTGTCAATTTCGGTCATCGCACATAAATGGCACACTGAGTCGCGGGAATCAATTTTCAGGATGGGTCCTGCTACTACATTGGATTTTATTTTATTCTAAGAATATTTGCAGCCAATTAAGGACGAGTCGTATTTATTAAACGTGTGGGGAGGAATCCGGAGCAACCGGGGAAAACGCACGCCTTGGGCGAGGAGGGCAATGCTCTATCCCCGTACAGACAGAAACAGGTGGCGATTAGTCCACTTGCTGTACTGCCTTCTCCTGGCGAGCCAGGATATATGGCACCTCCTCGACGCCCATGGGAAGAGAGTTTCGCAACACCTGTGCGGTGATCCACCAACTCTCACTGCTGCCTCCACAGTGCACGATTGCAGCTGGGGTGGACTCAGGGCAGACTCAGGGAGGACTCAGGGAGGACTCAGGACAAACTCCGAAACTCGGGGCAGACTCGGGGCTGTCGCTCTCCACTGCCGATGAGGCTGCTATTGCCCGGCTCCAGTAACACGAGATCAAGATAATAACAAAATAACTTCATTTTTTTTACAGCGGATGCACTTGTCAAATTTGCAGGAAACCCAGCATTGATATTCTAAGCTTTCACACGATATCAACCCCCCCCCCCCCACCCAGCGAGAATTGGCATCGTAAAATGTGGTCGCCACTTTTGAGACCCTCCACAAATCCGTGCTACATTCTACTCGCACATACACAGAGACTGCACTCACTCAACCCGCTACGTGCAAAAGACTGGGTCCGTTCGGGAAAACGTGTCTGCCAAAAATCACCCTCAGCTGAACTCCACCACATTCAATGCACATCACCACTCTTCTCGACCGAGTTTGTGCAATTGCAGTGGGGATGTGGAACTGAAACCTCTGGAGATTCTGGGCAGATGCTGGCCCAAAACTTAAAAAATAAAACCTGAGTCCTGCGACCATCTTGTCCTCATCCGACAAGAGCGACATCAAAGAAGCGGCTTTACTTTTAGAAATGTGACCGCTAAGTTTCACTTTGTCGTAGCAATACACTCGCGTTGCACGGCGATGTAACGTACGGGGGCATCGTGGTTTTCACGGAACGGAATCGAGGGGACACGGCGTATGTAATGTGAAGGATTTTCGACTGGTGGACGGTTCACATAGCTCACACAGGCGACATTAGGAAGCCACTGGAGCTACGCACTTTAAAAGATACATTAAAAGCTCATTTTTTTCAACACTTTTTGTGCGTTTAGTTTGCTGTCCTTCCTCCGCACCTCCAATTAGCAGTGGTTGGCTACGTACGGTGTGAAAAGAGGTTCAACATCCGGTACAATTACAATCACACCAGTAAATGAACGGCCACTGAAATGGCCAGCAATGGTCAGTGATGGTCAGCAACCGCGCGCGCGCCCAGAGGCCTTGTGCCATCAGTCAATTACAACACGGCAGGTAGCCGCGCTCGAGGAGCCGCTAGAACCGTTCTCGGTTGCCATCGCGGGGCACGGCTGCCCGCTGAGGGACCGGCGGTCTCACGCCCATCACCTTCCTAACGCCTCCAACGCCAACGCCCCCCCTACACCACCGCCCACCGCCAACGCACGCGCAGGGCCGCGGAAACGTCACCGGCAGCGTGCGCCGTACGCGTAAAAAATGCGGAGGGCGAGAAGAGCAAAGCGTGAAAGCCGCCGGCCTCTGCGAATGCGTTGCAGTGCAAAATTATCGAAGGAAGCGAAACAAAACGGAAAATGGCGCCGGAAACAAGCCTATGAAATGCAATACCAGAGCGCGGGTCTCGTTTGCCGGCGAGAAGCTCGCCATCTCTCTCTTCCTCCGTGTTAAACCGACTACGTGTTAAACTGACTACGTGTTAAACTGACTACGTGTTAAACTGACTACGTGTTAAACTGACTACGTGTTAAACTGACTACGTGTTAAACTGACTACGTGTTAAACCGACTACGTGTTACACCTAGTCGGTTTAACACGTAGTCAGTTTAACACGTAGTCGGTTTAACACGTAGTCAGTTTAACACGTAGTCAGTTTAACACGTAGTCAGTTTAACACGTAGTCGGTTTAACACGTAGTCGGTTTAACACGTAGTCAGTTTAACACGTAGTCAGTTTAACACGTAGTCAGTTTAACACGTAGTCAGTTTAACACGTAGTCGGTTTAACACGTAGTCAGTTTAACACGTAGTCAGTTTAACACGTAGTCAGTTTAACACGTAGTCAGTTTAACACGTAGTCAGTTTAACACGTAGGAAGAGAGAGATGGCGAGCTTCTCGCCGGCAAAGCCTACGACTACTACGACTAGTCATAGTAGTCGTAGGCTTTGGCGACCAATAATAGCCATCGGAGGGTTTTTTTTTCTTTTGGGTTAGATCACGTAAATATGAATGCGTCATTAAACCCGCCACCATCACCCGACACAGCCAATGAGTAAGGTTTGTCACGTAAACCGGTTGTGTGTTGGAGAGGAAACCCACTACAGCATTTACAATTCAAGTACCGTGGCGTTTCACCGGTAATTACAACAACAACCAGCATCATCAGGCGACAGCCAGAGTTGTGGAGAAATCCTCCTCCTGTGTTGGTTTCTCTCACCCTGCTCATTCGAGTGTACGTCTGTCGAACCAGGCCTACACATTTGTTTCGTTGGGCGAGCGGAATTTGTTTTCCCGGGCCGTGCATGCGCGTGTACGGCAATTTTTATACCGTGAAATCCGTGCAAGGGGTGGGGATGTGGGGTCGTCTTTACCCGTGGGTGAACTCGCGTGGCAAATACATGCGCAACGGCTGCAGGTTTCGTGCGGTGGACAGGTGAATGGGAAAGCATAGCGGAAAACATGCCGGGGGTATTGTTAGACAGTTTGCAGTGTTCCTATCTACTTGAGCAAAACGTCGAGCACGACATGTCTAGTGGCTTTTGCTTTAACATATAGTAGTAGTAGTAGTAGGCCTTCGCGACCAATGTTATCCACAATGGAGGTTTTTTGGGTTAGATCGCTTAATTACACAACTAAGGTTTTTTGGGTTAGATTGCTTAATTACAGGCGAAACGTCACGGAACGCGAATTGTAAATGTTGCTCTCCAACACACTGGTGGTGCTGAAGTAGTAACTAATTGGCACGTTTTGTTTACGTGACAAACGTTACTAACTGGGTGTGTCGGGTGGCGGAGGGTTTGAAGACACATTAATGCTTGCGCAATCTCCCCCGAGAAAAAAATAAACCTCCCTTGTGGACGAACGACTTTTAACAATCAGAAGGGTTGCACTCTCGACAAAAACGCCGTCCAAATTCCAGAGCCGCCAAACTAAACAACAAGACCCGCGGAGGACAGCCGATGAGCCGTTGGCGACTGCTGCCCGTTGACGATTTCCCCGCATGGGCGAGCACGGCGACAAAAATGGGTTCACATGCGATGAAAATTAAAAGGAGCAAGACTTTATCCGAAGGCGGCCGCGTTGTTTTTTTGTTTGTTTTACGCGGCTGCTTAGCCACGCGCCGATCGAGCCGCGCCGTCCGGGTTAACGGTTCGACGTTTGAGAGAGAGAGAACGGGAGCGAGAGAGACAGAACGAGAGAGAGAGAGAACGAGAGCGCCCCACAAGGTCACGAGCATCGCGCCGCGGCCCTTACCTCTTGTGAATGTCTTCATGGCGCAATATTTTGTAGATAATCCAATAGAAGATATTGAAGAGGAGGAAGGAAAGAGGGAAGGCTGCTCGAGATATTGTGTCAATTTTCTTGGCCCGGTCGACATACTTCTTCTTGATTGCGTCTGGGTCCTTGGGTGGGATGGAAGAGGGGGGAGGGGCTGAGTTGGCTGCGTTGATTCCCTTGACGGACATGCCGTCGCCCGCCTGAAGGCACTGGCCCATGCCGTACATGTTGAAGCCCCTTCCATCCTCATCCTGGAACACACGGCACACAGTGAGGGGGAATTAACCCTTCGCTGCTTTGCACTGTATGCAAAGGGGGAGAGGGGTTGCCACGGCGAAGGAGAGAGGGGGTTGAAGACATGGCTGTAATATCATCCGTTAGCGCGGTCATGATACCGCGTAGGCTTTCCCGAACATCCATAATGAAGGTTTTTTTTGGGGGGGGGATAGATCTGGCAAAATCGCCTGATGAGGCTGGTTGTAATCACCAGCGAAAAGTCGTACTCCAATTGTAACACGCCGTGCTTTCACTCTCCAAACATGCCGGTGGTGCTCAACATGTGACCAATTGGTTCTTTCGGTAAAGTCACGTAGAATGGAAATAATAATAAAATAAAACATAATAAAATAATTCTCACGACGTTTCGGCCACACTGCAAGCAGCTTGCGTTGTGGCCGAAACGTCGTGAGAATTATTTTATTATGTTTTATTTTATTATTTTATTATTTCCATTCTACGTGACTTTACCGAAAGAACCAAGAAGATGAATCCCTGCAGTCACGAAAGCTTTAAATCGAAATTTGGCACGCTTTTGTTTACGTGACAAACCTTACTGACCAGGGCTGTGTGGTGGTGGCGGAGGGTTTAACGGCAACGTTGAGATTTACGCGATGTAACCCCAAAAAAAACTTTATTATGTGGTCATCACATTTGCACCTCCGGTACGGTGCGAAAGAAGTTAAATGTACGTAGACCCATAGACTCACACACGGAGAGCCACAGACATACACAGTTAGGGGCCGTGATATGGCCCGGCAAAACATCTGCTGCCCCCCCCCCCCCCGCCTCATCCCCCCCGGTTGGCACGTGACGTTAAAGATCCCCGTGGCGTAGCACGCAAGAGCTGGGGGGCTGTCGCGGTCCACCTCCAGCCGGCGTCGCGGTCTGAATTCGCCAACATTTTTCGAAACATTTATCCGGCAAATTAATCGATGAGGGTATTTACGCCACAGCGATCGTCAAGTATAATTTACGTCGCAATAACACATGATGATGATATACGGGCAAAAAATACATTAGGCAGCAAAGGCACGACAGAAAGTGACTGTATCTTTTGCCCGTCAAGATGACGGCACAGTTTTGACCAACATTCCGCGCAGTCTTCATATGCACCAGTTCTGAACGGTCTTACTCCGCTCGAAGCCGATACAGGGATTCCTCTACTTACGAACGAGTTAGGTTCCAGAGGTCTGTTCGTAAGTCGATTTGTTCATAAGTCCAACTTTACTCCTGTCGATTCCAAACATGTTGTACAGCATGTGCACTAAGCACAAGGTTTCCTCATCACTTGCAGTTGTGAACCCCTCGGTAGCCTGCAGCAGTTTGTGCCCCATCTCCGTCCTGTTTGTCAGGGAGATGGGGCACAACTAAAAATATCCTGACCAAACGCAGGTTGGGAACCGCTGAACGAACTAGTAGATGTGATACGCTTTGCATGGGAATTTGCAATCACATTAACCCTTTCCCATCCCGATGACGTACGTCATTTTAGTTATTCTTCAGATTCCGTTCCGATGACGTAAGTGTACGTAATCGGAACATGCGTCATCAGAACGCAATCGGAAGAAAAGCCAAAATAAAATAACTGTATCGGAAACGTCTTCTGACCTCAAGACGTACCGAGGGCGTGTGGCACAGTTTGGCGCCAGCTATCGTAGAGTGCGGTCGTGTCGCTATGGTTCTCTGCAGTGAGCAACACAGTCTTTAAAAAAATAACGACGCTATGCCTCTCTAAATAAATACAATAAACGTCGAACCACTCGCCCGTTCCGGGACTAAGCGGTGAACGGAGCACCCACCCACACCCCGGCAACTTGCAGCAACGTCTCGGTACGTGAAAAGGGTTAAGAATCCACTGCCGAGCAGAAAGGCAGATGGTGCTCGCCTCAGAGGATGTTGAATGAGGGAGGCGAGCATTGGCATGGCAGTAGCAGCGCGAGGGGTTTTGTCAGGGGCACAAATAAAACCCCCCACCTCTGAATGACGACCGAGGTCATTTGGTGTTAAGATACGGTCACAGAACCTCTTCATATTCCTTTTTGTCGCGAAAATTCAATCATTGCCGATGTTACATTCGCATGCCACTTCGACTTCCCCTCGACTGCTCGCGATTTGGCAACATGGCGTCGTGGGGGAGGGCAGAGGTCGCAAGCGGGTTTTGATTCCTTACCCGTACTCGGCCGCACCAGGGTCACAAATGGGTACCCGTACCCGGCCGGGTATGGGTAGCCGTTCCCTACCCGTACCCTACCCGAAATGAGTGACAAACGGCTACTCACCAGTGACTCACGGCCTACCCGTACCCGTACCCGGCCGCACCAGGGTCGCAAATGGGTACCCGTACCCGGCCGGGTATGGGTAGCCGTTCCCTACCCGTACCCTACCCGAAATGAGTGACAAACGGCTACTCACCAGTGACTCACGGCCTACCCGTACCCGGCCGCACCAGGGTCGCAAATGGGTACCCGTACCCGGCCGGGTATGGGTAGCCGTTCCCTACCCGTACCCTACCCGAAATGAGTGACAAACGGCTACTCACCAGTGACTCACGGCCTACCCGTACCCGTACCCGGCCACACCAGGATCGCAAACGGCTACCCGTACCAGGCCGGGTACGGGTAGGCGGGTATCGGGTAGGGTACGGGTATCGGGTACCCGGTTGCGACCTCTGGGGAGAGGTACTTGCCAATGCGGTCGCGGATTCTTTATTTATTCCTTCGATCATGGAGAGGGGGCGATCTAAGCCTCAAGTGAGTGCAGGAAGTGAGAACGACAGCCAAAGCTGCAGCGTGTGTACACAATTCTTCGGCGCGTGCCGTGACGGGGCACTGCACGATCCGACCGTGTCCTCGTAGAGCTACATTGGCGTGCGGTTGCCGAACGAACACGTTAATAAGGTCGCGCTCATTACACACACACACACACACAAAGCGCTTGCCAACAAATGAACCGCAAGACTTCGCTGATCTCGTCAAGGGGCATAAACCGTCATCACGCAAACTCCGGGTCACCCTCGCAGCAGCGGATTTTGGCTCGGCCATCAAGCGAAGACGGTGGTCACCGCATCGAGCGCTTTCTGATGCGCTTCTGTGGCCGTCTGGAATGCTCTTCCTTCCGATATTAGGAAGCAGAGGTCGCAAACGGGTTTTGATTCCTTACCCGTAGCCGTACCCGGCCGCACCAGGGTCGCAAAAAGGGTACCCGTACCCGGCCGTACCCGTACCCTACCCGTACCTGGCCGGGTACGGGTAGCCGGTATCGGGTAGAGTACGGGTATCGGGTACCCGGTTGCGACCTCTGTTAGAAAGCCATTGGAGCTGTTGACTTTTAAATTATCTATATTGAAAACGAATTTCTTTAGAACTGTTTTTGTGTTTAAATTGTTGTCCTTCCCCCGCACCTCCGATTATCACGGTTGACTACGTACGGTGCGAAAGAAGTTCAACATACACACGTACAGAAAAAAAGTGATGAGTTTGGCTCAAAGAGTAGAGCAGTTGAATAGACTTGCTCGTCTTCTGACCATCATCACATCCCCGTCATCATCCAAGGTAAATAAAAGTTGACAGTATAATTTACGGATGTTTTATATTATTTTTTCTATTTTGGTGTACTATTTTTGTTATTAGCAATTTGTATTATTTCACAAATTAACTAAGTATACGAACGTTATTTTTTATACATTACAGGATTAATGTTACGAAATATTTTCATATTCTCCTGCTGTATGTTCAGTTGGGCACAGGAATCGAATATCCCCTTTTCCCCCCTAATATAAACATCCCATCTACGTGATCAAGGGTTTTTTTGGGTTAGATCACATGAATGTAAATGCTGTCGTTAATCCCGCCACTACCCGCCACAGCAAATTAGTATGGTTTGTCACGTAAACAATCACCGGCGAAACGTCGTTCTCAAATTGTAAATGTCGTGGGTTCACTCTCCAACACACCAGGTGTGCTGAAATGGCACGTTTTGTGTACGTGTCAAACATTTACTAATTGGCTGTGTCGAGTGGTGGCGGGTTTAACGGCACATTTATATTTTACGCGACCTAACTAAAAAAGAAACCTTCATTATGGAGAATATTGGTCGCGAAAGCCTACGCGTTAAACATCCTAACTAGATTCGCGAACTCTACCTTCGCGCAGCATGTCAAGAACCGAACCCTCGCCGGATGTTGAGCCTTCGCCGTGCGACTGTTTGAGGCGGGGAGCTTAATGTTCGTCCTGCCGTACGTGTCGCGAGAACTAGACTCTCCCAACGACGATAAAGGTAACAACCACTTGGCACACACCGGCACAATTCATTCGCGGACGCACCGCATATCTGAGCGGGATGGCGTAAGCAAGCTCGGAAGTTTGAAATGAAACAAGGCCCGATAATGAGCGTGGGGGGGGGGGGATTTTGGCGGGGTAAAGGGTGTGGGATGGAGGGTGGCAGGTTGATTGGCAGGCCTCGGAGCGGACAAACTCTTGAGTCGGAAAACCACAGGGAAGACCCCGGTGACGATGGGATGGCTCCGGAAGCGGACCGTGGATGGTAATGAGGTGGCTGTGGGATTCCGGCAGGCGGAAGGAAGTGTGGTGGCCGTCGATTGCATGAGCCACGGTGAACCTCTCGATATTGAAGCCAAAACTTGGGCATTGAGCGGAGTTCATGCGAAGCGTGCCCCTTGGGTTGGCAACGTATCTCAGGTCGTGGAAGGGGAATGGCGGACATTGAGCGGTGGTGACACCTGCCTGCGAATGACCTCCCCGGCGAATAAAATCTGACACGAGAAGCTGCCCGCAGCACCGATAGAGGCCACACAGCCCGACCGACATCCGTCTTGTTTTGCGATGAGCGAATTGAAACCGATGCAGGGCATATAAATGTTCATGAACACCATTATTATACAAGAGGTGAACTCTAACGTATATGGACGCGTGGCTATAAATCACCTCTGAATAAAATAAGCCAATGCAACTCA